TCACAGAGAGGGATTTCCGGTCTGCAGTTTAAGACCCGCAGAATCCGGACAAAACAGTACCGCGTCGTTGTAGGTCTGCGGCAGCTTCATGCTGGACCCAAGCGGTGACCAGGCGCAGGGCTGTGCACTACAGACAAGCCTGCCTTGCTGGCAAGAGCAGCTCCGGTAGATATGTCCATGTAGTAGTCAGTGCGGATACACTTCGAACATTTCCTAACCTGCCGCTACCCTAAACTCTAAACCCTGCAAACCCTAAGAGTTTGCTGTAGCTGATGATGTACTATAGTAATGTAGTACAGTGTGGTAGAATATCATGTCATATTTTATAGCATAAACTACGATCGTACTACATGTTAAAAAATCATGCCGCTCCAACTATGCGAGCCTGGCACTGCTAATTTGGTCTCCGCATCAGGACTTTCTTTGGGTTTGTGTTGGACGACTTTTCTACTATGTGACTTGGCTTCATTTCTTTGCTTAAGATGCGTCCACCATGCCTGCCTGTAGGCGCAAGGCTGAGTCGAGAGCCCAGCATTCCTCCAATGGCTACCTTGCCGAGGCGTAGACGATGAAATTTTCAAATCGGTGAGGGTTTTCTAGGAATCCTGATGGTAACTGTCTCGCCGAGAAAGGCAGAACCCCCGCCAGTAGCTGAGGTTTCTACGTCTGTGACTGTGTTCTTGCATCTCGGCCGCGCAACTCCTCGATCCGAAGAAAAACCCTCGAAACCCTCAATAGGCCCTGCACCTCTCTCGTGGTTTAGGGGCTTAAGGGGTGGGGATTCGGGGTTATTGAGGTGTGCTTGGTCTCAGCGAGGCTGTCTGAGCACAAGCTGTCTGAGCCGAAGTCGGTGAATGCAAGTGCAAGTGAGGTACTACTACATCCGGGACACCTTGCAGATAACGAACGAGGCCTCCTCATGGTGCAGTGGTGATGTTGATTGTGCTGTGTCTACGCCGAACAAAAGTGGGTGACATGCTGGGTTTTCGACCTGTCGAAGCGTGCTGATGCTTGTGCTCTCTGAACCTCCAGCAAGCCCTAAGCTCCCAAACTCACCGACCCTCACCCAAAACCCCAAAACATAGAGCCGCAAATGCAACCCAAAGCCTTAAACCGTGAAGCCCCAGAAGCCGCTCGAATCCGAAGGCCCAAACTCGAATCCCTAAACCCGCAAGCTGTAACAGCCTGAAGCTCCTAAACCCCTGAAGCTCCTAGGCCCCTGAAGCTCCGAAACCCTAAGCAATCCGTTGAAGCAGGGGGAGCTCCGCGTCAAACTGGCCAGCTTGGTGATCGCTGCACAGGTGGTGGGTGCCTTGGTCTCGGCCCCGTGGATGTCAAGAACTTTATTTTGTTTATTTAGTCATTTATTCATTTAGTCATTTATTCATTTATTCATTTATTTATTTATTTATTTATTAATTTATCTATTTATTTATTGTTATTCTTATATTTTATTTTATTTTATTTATTTTTATTTGTTTTACCGGGGGTTTGAGTGTATGGACATTTGGAGTTTTCGGGGTCCGGGGCTGGGGAGTTGCAGCCTCTTCACGCCTGTTAGGACCGCTCGTCACTGAACCCCGTGCCAGGCAGTGGGTCGCCGAGCGCAAGCTCTAGAAAGTCCACACAAAACCTACAGTAAACCCGAATGTTCCACATTCCGGACCCTTCCTCCCACCCTGAAGCATAGGGATTTGGCTCGTGGGGCTTAGGGATGAGAGATTTAGTGCAGCACTTGCACCAAGATTTGGTATGATAGTTCCTGTAAGTATCCGATCATTGTCATGTCTAAACTTTCCCGGTGAGGTGGCGTAGCAGTCCGACTCAGACTCAGTGGTAGTACCTGTTTCAGACCTTCCGCTTGGGACATGAAGGGTTCGGCCCAATTCGTTTTTCCTTCATCCTGACACACGACAGGATGTGCCAGAAAGTTGACGCCTGATGCCACTAAGGTATAGAGCCTGTAGAGCGCAGATAACTCTGGCTCGAGTCATCCTTAATTAGTCCATGTTCGTATAAGTTCCCCTAAGCTCGGACACCCGGCTTCAGATTCTGCCAGAACATCCCAGGTACCAGCCGGAAGATCTTCGAACACTTTTGGCTCCTGGCCTGCAGCTTTGTTCTTGTCGTCATCATCATCATCATCCTCATCCTCATCGTCGTCATCTTCTTCTGCTTCATCTTCGGCACATTGTCGCCTCCCTCCTCCTCCTCCTCCTCCTCCTCCGCCTCCTCCTCCTCCTGGAGACCAGAGCTAGGGTTCCGGCTTTCAGCTTTCGGGCTTTTGGGCTTCAATGAGCTTCAGGGTCCTAGGATCCAGAGTGTGGGGCTCGGTGTTCAATTTAGGGTTTGTGGCCCGCCCGGGTGTTTCTGACGGCAGCTCTGCGGGGGATGAGGGTACGATTGCTCGTGTTACCTTCCTTCCTCTTGTTACTCCTATATCGATTAAGATTCTGCTGTCAGTAGTGTTGCTACTCTCTGCCGTTAATCCCACTGTCATTGCCATTCCTCTTGCTGTTCGTCTGTTTGTGTCTTACTTCCTTGCAGCTCTTCGTAGTGAAACTGGAAACCTCTACTAAGAGGGCCCGGCTCAGGAAGGAAGCCCGTGATCTACGCGGCCTGCACCATCATGTCCCTCACCTTCCTGATGTACGTGTGGACGCCCGGCCAAACTCCGACGAGCCCCGAAGACTCTAGGAGAGAACTCAGGGGTCTCAGAAACCCTCAGCCCCAGGCCCCGGAGCCCTGAAGCCGCAAAGCCCTCGAGCCCTCGACTTGGCAAAGGATCGTTGGAGGGTCTGAGACTTCTTGTGTGTTTTTTTTTGGTGGGGGGGTGGGGGGG